TCACACATTTTTGAATGAAATTACACTTTAAAGGAACGTTGTTTTTATGCTTCTTTCGTAGGTCTATCTATTAGGAACACAACACAACTGAAATGGGGCGAACACAACTGAAATCTGAAATGGGGCGAAACAGAGCCAAACAAAGCAAAATGGTGGAGCTGCGCAGGGTGGGCATCGACGACGTCAGAATCGGCGCCGACGGCCCCAGAGTGCAGAGAGTGACGTGAAAATGGCAATGACAGCGCCCAAAATGGTGCCGATAGCGCCCGAGACGGTTTTGACACGATGCTTGGCAAATTTCTAGAAGATTCAATGTATTTAGATGTTTTTTTGAAGGTTGTTTGAGGCATCTCTTGCGAAATTCGTCCCTACACTATAATAGAGTTCTTTTATGTAAAAAAAAGTGGTGTGTGTGAGTGGAAAAACGAAGAGAATGTTTAGAGATCTTAGAATATGAGTAGAAATGTTGATTTCTACCTTTGTGAAGAGATTGAAGAGGGGATTTTGAGAGAATCTGTAAGGGAATGTTCTAGCATTGTGTGGATCAGCGGGAGACTTTGTTGGAGAGATTTTTATTTTTCTTTCAAGGAGAAAAAGCTAAGTATTGTGTTCTTTATTATTTTATGATTTTGTAAACACTTATCTAGTGGATTTGTTTTGATTTAATGAAGTTTTTCGTCGTATTTTCTTCACGCTTTGTGATGTGTTTCACTTACTCTTCTTCTTTTTTGGAATAGTGTCTTGAGAAGATTATGTCATTATTTTCCTTTTACTTTTCTTTGTTAATGAGTAAGGATTCATGTTTAGGATATTGGGATGCATGCTTGAAGAAATTTTAATCATAAATGTGATGGTTTTTACTTGCACTTCATTTATATTACAATAAGAGTCTGTTATAGTATTAAAATTTGTTGTAATTTCATTAAGACCCAAGAGGGCGGTGTAATTCTCAACAAAGTAGAACCAAATTCAAATTCTATGGATGGTAAAGTTCATATGGGTTGAGTGCAAATAAATAGGAAAATATATATATTGTTGGGCTTAGAATTGGAGATTTTAGGGTGACAGATTAAAATCCCCAATTTGGTCTTAGAGTTTAAGAACTAAAGTGAGCGTTAGCCTTCAGGGGAAGGGAAGTGGGAGCTCTGGAGTGAGAGTCAGTATCCTCCCAGCCTAACCATAAATTTAGGAACTAAATCTAAAATTAGCCGATGAATTTCTATAACCCTGAATCAGGGTAGAGAATTAAATTTTTTTTCTATTTGACACATAGAATATTTAATGTATCTCATTCCTTTACATTATCTAATTCACTACATAAGAAGAGTAATTTTTAACATATTAAAATTCTCCAAGCCAACTCATCCAAAAAGTGTTATCTTTACAATTAATATTTACATTTAGGAAAATTTACTATCCTTGCATTTAACATTCGCATTTAAGAGTAGTTGCTAGATAAAACATCATTTTAATCGACATTCCAAACTAAGGACTAATAATAGTATACTGGAATTTGACTTAGGATATTTTTTCTTGCTTCCTCATGGGATCGATATTCAGGGCTTAATTAAAAAATCCTATATTACTTTCCTATATGACTTGAAGCGATACGTGCACTTGTGTAGAACCCATAGTGTGTGAACTGTTTTCTATATTTCATAATATTTTAATTTTGTATACTGCAAAATATAAATTGGGTCAAGTTTTTGGTCGTCTTTTGAAAGCTAAAGTACTGCGTAATTACAGATTGGGTCAAGTTCTTAGCACCATCTCAGGGGAATTGAATTGACATAAAACACGCAGAAAAACAACACGCACTAGGGGCACATCAAGTTTTTGGCACTATTGCCGGGGAAGCTTTGATAAGAACTTTAGGAGAATTTTAGTTGAAGTAATTAGACTTATACTTGAAAAAATTATAGTGTCATAAAAACTGTTTTTTGTATAAAAAGTATTTTTTGTATGAAAAAGTGTTGTGAAAAAACTGTTTGTGTCAAAAACAAGGTGTTTGTGAAAATATTTTATTGTGTTGAATATATCTTTTATTTTATTTGTTTAATATTTATTGTATTATTTATTGTATTGCGTATGCGAAATAAATGATCCGCAAAACTTGTGCCTTATGATCCCGAGTTAGAAAAAAAAATCAAAAAGATAGAAAGGACTTGAAGAACTAGAAATGGAAATGGAAAACATTTAAAATAATAACTTAGAAAATTATCAAAAATCTTTGATGAATTATATAAATCGTACGACAGATGAAATTCACTCAAGTATACAAACCCCTGTCGTAGAAGCTGACTCATTTAAAATAAATCCAGATATTATCTAACTGGCGCAGAACAACCAGTTTGGGGGAACTTCTTTGAAGGATCCTTATTTACACTTATCCAATTTTCTAGAACTTTGTGCTACACTTCGTTATAATGTCATGTCAAACGATGCTGTTAGACTAAGGTTTTTTCTTTTCTCACTAAGTGTTAATGCTAAAATGTGGTTATACTCATTAGCACCTGACTCTATTAAGAATTGAAAGGAGTTAACTCAGAAATTCCTAGCTAAGTATTTTCCACCTTCAAGGTCTACTGAACTTAGAAATGATATTATCTCATTTTCTCAGTATGAAAGGGAATCAATATATGAAGCTGGAGAAAAAAATTAAGAAACTTCTAAGAAAGAGTTCACACAATGCGCTGCCTGATTGGTTAATCATTTAAACTTTTTACAATGGGTATGGGTTAGTAGAATCCCTTATTAGTAGAATCCCTTATGTTTACAATTGACGCTGCCACTGGTGGATCATTAATGTCAAAGTCATTTAATAAAGCATATGCAGTAATTGAAGAAATTACTACAAATGAATTTCAATGACCCTCTACATGGGTAAATCCTAAAAAGGTAGCCAGTGTTCATGATACAGATGTGATTGCAATTTTTGCATCTCAGGTTGCTGCAATATCAAGAAATTTGGACCAATTTGAAATGAACCGGCCTCAATTTACTCCAGTAAGTAAGAAAAGTTCATTAGGGCATATGATTGATAGGGGTGCATAAATAGGCTTGAGGGCGGCGTTATGGCGACATATGAATTGCATCATTTTTGTCATTTTCCCCTCATTTTCTCCAAATGTTCATTCAATATGTCTGAAACCAAAAACATACAAAATATCTTTATTTAAAGTGCAATATCACTAAAAATATGCATAAAACGATCATAAATTATGCACTAAAACAGATAATTTTAAGGCGGATCATACCGACGTATCCTAAATATGTGGTAACGAATAAGTCATATAAAAAATCTCATGATAACTCCCAGTGACAACCATTTACAACCATCATACATAGAATACAATGCCTTTTTACAGACTCTCAGACTCTCCTCTTTACTTTGTATATTGACGATTTGATGTCTCTAGTGTAATAGTCAACCCAATCAAGGGTTGTGGCCACAAACTTGTGTAGCCCTTTGACATTTGTGGCCTACTAATGATATTGTAGCTCCCACTATAGTCTATGTGGCCAAGTGCTGTCATTACAACCCCCACTTTGGTCGTTGTAGCCTGAGACTCTTACAACTACCCACTACGACCTATGTGGTTAATTTACTATATATTGTAGCTGTCCACTATGACTTATGCAACCAACTGCCATCATTACTATCTCCCATTAAAACCTTTGTAGCCAATTGACACGATTATAACTCTTCACTATGTAGCCAATTATTGTCATTACGGATCTTCACTAAAATCTTTGTAGCCAACTGACGCTCTTAGAACTACCCACAACGGTCTGTGTGGTTAGTTACTACTAGAGCTGTTCACTACGACTTATGTGACCAACGACTATCATTAAAGCCTCTCACTACAACTTTTGTGCCCAACTTATGCTTTTTAAGCCACCAACTTTGACCTATGTGATCAACTACTACTACGACTTCTACGACAAGCTAGTGCAATCACAACCATTGTAAGCAACATTTATCGCAGATTATTGCTTTTGCAGGAATCAATTATGACCTTTGTGACTTGGTATCATTATTATTGTCAAGAACTATATTCATTGCAGTTCAATTGTAACTATTATTGCTAAATTATAGTACATCTATGATCATCAACTTTATAATTTAATCTTCACTAATTAAGGAAAAGGGTTAACATATGTACTTGGTTAGACCCAATGATTTTTTTCTTTCCAGGATTTTCCACATAAAAAAAATTGGTGGTGTTTTCTCATGATACTTATTTTTTTTTTTTGTGTATACAAGATATTCGCGCAACATTAAGATGTTTAATTATCACTGTACCAGCTCGAATTTTCCATCACATAAAAAATGTATTTTATTATGTCTATTTTAATGTAATTTTAATATAAAATACTATATAAATAAAAATGAGTATTTAAATATCAAATATAAAAGTTTATAAAAAATTATGATATATAGTTAAGAGGAAAATAAAAATTATTTATCTATTTACTGACAATCAAACAACTCATAGATATTCATAATACACCGCTTTTATTTTACTCTTCATGCATCTAATCAATGAAAAAAAAAATCAATTGCATTTACATATAAACAACCAAACAACTTCTCCGCTAGCAGAATACACTCTAATCATAATTTTGTACATTCCGTTTACTCTACATTCATTTTTGAGCAAACAAAATAACCCCTAAATATTTATATGATTTAATGGACAAATGCATAGTCTAAAGGAAGATTAGCCATATGAATTAAAGTTAGACATACAAATTTGCAATCAATAGGATCATTATAGTTGATGAGTAGAAAAATATTTTTCATAAAAGTCATCAAAATGAAATATGCCAAAAATGTGATTTTGATGTTATCAAAAGAGCCTAATATTTAGTTCATGCTCATTGTATGCATTCACATTTGCATACATCATATTTTATAAGATAAAACAAATGTTCTTACCATGAAATACAATTATAAATCGAGGCAATGCAACAATGCAAGTTCCCGAGCCCGACGAACCGGGCCAGGGTCGGAAGCCGAGCCGCCTTCCCGGCAATTAGCAGGTTGGGCCCACCTCGATGTAGGAGGCGCGGAGAATCGTAGGGATGGTCTCCGTTGAAGAGGCGTGAACTTTACCGCGTTTGCACGTCGTTTTTATATGTTTTCCTCGGAGAAGCGTCAATGCGTACTTGAAGGTGAGTGTTAAGGCGGTGTCCAGATACCGTGACTGTCGCCGTTCTGCTCTTTCACCCCCGTCGAAAGTTTCTTGTGAGGAGCCAAGCCAAACCCTAGCCTGCCATTGGAAATCTTTTTGAGCCGCTTGAGACCTAGCTGGTGGACCGTGAATTGTGAGGTATGGCTTGTCCGTTAGGTTCAAATTTCTCCCATTTTTTGTTCCGGGCTTCTGAGCTAGGTTCGTCTTCGTTTTCCTGTGCTTGGATTCACTTTGGTAGTTTGAATTTTGGAATTTGGTCGCCGTGAAGAAGGTTGGGTGGGGGTTTCATTTAGGTGATGAAAATCGTGTTCGTGCCTTTTTAAAATTGTGCTTCGTGATTTGTTCGATAAGCTATTAGGTGTTAGTGGGCTTGTAACGCGAGCATTGATTTTATTTTATTTATGCAATACAAGGTAAAAGTACACACTGGGAGGAGTTGGTGGATCATAATTTCCACATTTTGTGTTGAGCAGCTGAGGATTTGCAGTCAGGATGACTAATCCGGCTGGAAAAGATGATTCAGAGCGAGAAAGGGCAGAGACCTCAGACGCTGGGTATATTAATGCTGAAGTAGAACCTGAGAGCTTCCCATCTCTGACAACTGAATCTGTGGGCGTGGATGCCGCTCAATTGGCTGGCATATCCAATAACGTTGGGAGTTCTGTTGCTGAAGATGCAACCCAAGAGATACCCATGGACATTGATATGCCATCAGAATCAACAGTGACTGTTGCTGCCCTGTCTGGTTCTGTTAATCCGTTGGAGACTGTTTCCGCGCAAAAAGCTGTCGCTGATACCAAGAATGAGAAAGAAAATGAATTGCTCAACGAACAGAAAGGGGATGGCGACAGGCAATTCGAGACATATGTAAGTGCTGATGAAAACAACCATCACACTGAAGCCCTCTTGTCAGTGAATCCGGAAGGATTTGGAGGAGGCAAGCCTACTCAAGCCGATGGTTTTAACCAATCCTTTTCCTTTGATCCAAATTATGGCGATGGAGGTGATTCTGGAGCGGAGGAAGAACAAGTTGCCTTTATGAAGGAGCTGGAGAATTTCTTCAAGGAGAGGAGCTGGGAGTTTAAGCCTCCTAAGTTCTATGGGGAGGGATTAAATTGCTTGAAGTGAGTTTTTGTTCATTAATTTTGACCTTTGTAGATATATGTCTGAGGGCCGTTGTGATGTTAGTTATTTCTCTTTCAGATTGTGGAGAACTGTTACTAGGCTGGGTGGTTATGATCAGGTATCTATCTTATTCCTTTGTCAATTTTATATGTTCTAAACCTGCTGTCTGCAGTAAGAATTAGTTGTTTAGAATTTGGTTCATGATGCTTTGCAATTTAAAAATTTTTATAACAGCTGATTGGAGTACTAATGTAATGCTGGCAAGGGTATATCTTACATCGGCTTTATCTTGTTGAACTGAGTTAATAGATCTTTCACTTTTTTATTCATTGAATGATGTCACTATCATGTACAATTGGTAAAAAGTGCTTATTTTTCTTGTTTAGTTAGTTTACTATGGATCCTGAGGCAGAATCAGATTAATCTTGATAAAAAAGTTAAGGGGTTTGGTTTTTTATTTAAAGGCGGGCATTGATTTCATGTAGTTGTTAAATGTTTTAGATTGGGTGCTTGTGTAGTTTTTATGAACTCTAGAACATAGGAATGCCTAGCATATACCTCTATTTATTTCCTATTCTAAAATGAAAAGCATGTGTTGAAGGTGATAAAAGTTTTAACCACTTGTTGTATTTGAAGAGAGTATATATGTTTCTCCCCCAACATAGCCTATATAAACTTGTAAAATATAAGAATAAATAAAAAAAAGGCAGAGGTTAACAAGACTAAATGACTAAAATTATATTCTTAGCTTATGATGCTCAAACTAACATAGTAATGCACCACACGAACACAATAATATTATTATCACTTTCTAGCAAATTATTATTAACCATGAACAAACCATGACTTAGTTGGACTACTCTACCTACAACTGGGATTGATGGATAAATTTAAAACTTGAAATTTGTTCAAATTTTATTTCTAGAAATCAAATTTATTTGCTTCTACATGAAGATGATTTGCTTAAAAATAGTTTGATCTAACTCAAATTTGATTGGATATATGAATATGCAATCATCGATATATTTGTCTTCGCAAATATTTACACGTACACGAAAGCGTACTAACTATTCATGCATATGCATGTAACTATTTATATGCCATACAAATATTTAAAATTATCTTTCAGTCTATATATGCACATCTTTGCATTTTTATTTTTTATTTATGTAAATGTATGGCCTCAATTAAGAGTTTAAAAATACTTTGTAAAATTTATAAGCTGGGCTGACATCAACTTAAATTTTGTTGAAATGAATCATTTCAACCTTGAAATTGTATTTTTTTTAATTTCAATTTGAATTGGCAAGATATCACTCCCTACCTCGAGGATTTGTTAAATAAAATATCTCGATCATCTGGTATCTTTTTAGGACTCAAAATTATGTGGAGAAGATTTGTTGATCAAATTATTGCAATATCCTCTATAACTCTTTAAATCTCAATATGTGTTTCATTTTGTCTCGTAGTTTTGTATATGCATTTTCTTAGAGCTATTTGCCAAACTCTACTTCACTATTTTGGGTCAGTTTATTATAAACCTAATTATTTTATTTATTATTCTCATCCAAAATAAAGTTTGGAAAAAAATCTCATTTAATATTTTCACAAGGTAGAATTGTCATGTTTCCTCACTTTCTTCATCTTTGACCTATGCTTTGATGGATAAAGCTTGAAAATTTCTTTAGGTTTCTTACTTCTTGCTTTTGATATCTTATATATCTCATTTTCAGCTTTCTTACCTCCAAGTTTGTTATAAACTATTAAAAAATTTAGATTTTACTTTGCTCATCATACTATTTGCAAGAATTTCTTTAACCATTATGAGCCTCAATATTATTCAATTTTTTTCACTCAAAGCACTTTATTTCTTACTAATCTTTGGCATTTTCACATTCTACTATCAAATCTTCTAACTGGTATTTAGTTTTATTTGTACACTTTTTAAACTTATAGGATATTTTTTTGATGCGGACATGCAGAAAGAGGCATGGGAGCCTCGTTCGCCTTTCTTATGCCTGGACCTATGGATCTCGGCAGGGTAGAGCCGACTTGTTCCTTTCCAGGGTTTTGGCATATACTTTCAACAACAAGGCTCATTCCTAATCATTTGGAACTTATATATTTGCTTCATTTGTTTTTGGTTGCCAGTTTTTTGGATTTTTTTGTCTGGAAGGCTATTGACATCCCCCATGTTTTCTTCTAGGGTTGTATTTGAGGACGAGTGGTGCTTCAGTTATATCTCACTTCGAGGTGGCGATTATCCTCGATTTTACCATCCTCCAAAACCTCCACATTGTCGTTGCCATCACCGTAATTGTTGCAACCCACTATGGACATCAACATTGCTTTCTCCTGCAGCCCCGAGACTCCAAGCTGCCTCCGTCTTTGTCACCATCACTGCTTCAGCCTCCCTCATTTCAGCACTTGCGATTTCAGTGCTCTTGCTTACTGCCATCGCCGTTTCAGTCACTAGAAATCCCTTCCCCTACCCACTAGCTGTTGTTCGAACCATCTTGGACCACGTGCCTGCTACCTAACAACTGTCCCAACCCTCCTGCACCATCTCCATATCACATATTCACTGTTCAAGCCTTTAGGATCTTGAATTCCACCTTGCTACCTTCCAGGATAGCAAGGAACTACTTTTCCATTGTCATATCCATCCACTTGCTTCGTGCTCCCATCTTATCGCCATCATTCCGGACCCCCAACGACCGTCACCATCTCCCACAATCTGCCCTAGTTGAGTTGGTGTTGTCATTTGTTGCAATTTTAGATTTTTGCGTCGTGTTGTAATTTCCATTTCTAGTTGTGTGGTTGTAATTTTCCCTATTTCAATTTCAACAATAATATTTTGTTACCCGTTGTTTTTTGGGTTAACTCCGGTATCATTTGGTGTCAGAACTAGCATAACCTTAGTCCTATCTTAGGATTTCTAGCATCTATCCATTCCTAACTCTACCTCCACCCAAAATTTTCTCACCCTACATCAGTCCATACACTATTTTCACATTCCCACCCACAAACCCTAATGATGTCGTCATAGAGACAATTGCTAGAACCTGTTCACGAGTTTGCCATGGAAGAGTTACAACGATAGCTCAATCTAGTACTATAACAGCAGGAAAGGACCTATTGAGAGGTTACTGATGAGTGTGGTGGCAAGACCAAAGAGGATAGCGGGAGGAATACCTAAATTCCTTCTGCAAGAATGATTTCAGTGAGAAGAAAGATATTACACAAAATTTTGGGATACACTGTCAGAAAAGATCAAGAGATGAAGTGTTTGTTAGATGATATATATATGAAGTGCTTGTTAGAGGATATGTAAATGAAATGCCTATTATAAGATGCAAAGATGAAGTGCCTGTTATAAGTTGCAAAGATGAAGTGCTGTTGGAGGATACAGAGGCTCGGGAGTGAAAGTGGACAAGTGGATTTCAAGGGGAGAATGAATCCAGATGGTTTCATAAGGTCTTTGAATACAAAAAGGTGCCGTATGACTGAAGGTGAAACTAGCTGCTATTAAACTGAAGAAGAGCAATTCATTGTCGTGGGAGAAGTTTAAAAGGGAGAGAAATAGAGAGGGAAGGAACAATACTACTTGGAAAAAATGATGAAGAGAGAGTTGCAGTGGCATTACCTACTCCCACACTACAATCAAGATCTTTTCTTGAGGCTCTACTACTTGCAACAAAGTGACATACCAGTGAAGAAGTGCACGTCGGGTTTTATTCAGCCCAAGTTGAAATGTAATTTGTCGGAAGCAGATGAGCACCCAATAACAGGGTACTTGGGATTCTTGAAGCCTGCCGTTGTTAATGTGGTCCAGGTACAACCTTACTGGTTTTTGGGTGACATTTAGGCTTTAGCATTGAAAGTGGAGAGACAACATAAGCAAAGAAAATACCCACCACTATTCAAATCGCCACGTGCACTCGGAGATATCAATAGCAACGCGCCTGATGGAGTTGAGAAGGCTGATCAGGAGAAGACAGAGCTCACACAGACTGAAAAAATGCCTGATAACAGTAGTGCACCCACTACAGTCTTATCAAGAAAACACTTCAATTTTCATGAAGTCTGCAAGTGGGGAAAATTCTTTAGATGATTTGGGAGATAGTGCAGTTGACAGCGAGATCCTGACACTCATATCGACACATTCGAAGTCCTTTCAAACCCGAAAGGTTACAACAATTCTGCCACCTGCAACGTGCTTGTTCAGATTCCATACTATGATGAGACAAATGCTTCATCGAATGAAATCGTATCTTCCCCAACCTCGTGAGACTGACGCGGGTGTGCAAAGAGAAGCGCGGGAGTCCTGTCGGCTTTTTTTACTCCTGGACCGACCAGTCCATGCAGGAGAGAGCCGACCAGCTCCTTTCCAGGGTTTTGGCACCCCTTTCAACAGTGAGGTTCATTCATAATTATCTAGGGCTTATATGTTTACTTCCTTTATATAGGTTTTTATTTTTTCATGATTTTTCCGTCAGAACAGCCGCGACGTCCTCTGTATTCTCTTATAGGGTTGTATTCGAGGACGAGTGGTGCTCTGATTGTATCTTGCTTCGAGGTGGTGGTTATCGTTGACCTTCCCATCCTCCACAACCTTCTTATCTCGCGGGCATGCATAGAGAGGCGCGAGAGCCCCGTCCATGTTTCTTACTCTTGGACCGACAGGTCCAGGGAGGGGAGAGCAGATTGACTCCTTCCTAGGGGTCTGACGCCTCCTTTCAATAGAGGGTCTCAATCTTAATTATTCAGGGTTTATATATTTACTTATTTTGATTTAGGTTTTCATTTTTTCATGGTTTTTCTGTTAGGGCAGCCATTGACATCCCCCGTGTTCCCTTTATGGTTGTATCCAACGACTAGTGTTGTTCCAGCTATATCTCGCTCCAAGGCAGTGACTACCCCACCGTTCCAATCTCCCTTGTTGCCGCCTCTGAAATTCCAGCACTCCTGCATGCTGCCATCGTTGTCCAGCCGCCAGAAATCCCCTCACTTTCCCACCAGCTGCTGTTCCAGCCATCCCGAAACACATCCCTGCCTCCTAACTGCTGTCCCAACTCTCCCGCTCTGCCAGCCTGCCCCATATCGGGTTTTTCAGCCTCCGAGAACCTGAATTGCACCTTACTGTCACACAGGACAGCAATAACCTGCAGCTCTGTTGTCATATCAGTCCACTTGTTTCACGTTCCCACCTTACCGCCACCATCCTGGACCCCCAACAGTCACCACCACTATCACCTGCGATCCACACTAGTTTGAGTTGGTGTTGTATTTGTCGTAATGTTAGATTTCTGCGTGTCGTATTGTTGTAATTTTTCATTTCAATTGTATGGTTGTAACTTTTCTATTTGAATTTGAGTAATAATATTTTGTTATCTATTGTTATTTGGGTTAACTCTAGTATCATTTTTTTTAATGAAATCGACCATTTTATCCCTGATTAGTTTCAACTTTAACAAAAAAATTCAATTTGCTTCTCATAGTAATCTATTTTTGATAAAAAATGCATCTATATTATAATTGCTCTTATTAATTAGTTAGAACAATTATTTTAAAATATGTCAAAATAAAAAAATTGTTCCATAATTACCTATTTAAGCTCAATTAACCAGGCGATAACAATTAATTGTCATATTAGCAACTAAAAATTAGATTATAACGTTAGGATGCAGATGCTTTCACCTGTTAAAATCTTGATCCGTCCCTCTTAATTTTGTCATTTGGAATTGGTTTTCATCATTCACTACTTCGACCGTATTTTTTTGCTTGCCAATATATTTTCCACCTTTTTCCCATGGTTTTTAGTAATTTGGTTTTGCCGTTTTGTCCTGTTCTTATCACATTTTGATTGATATATTTTGTTGCAGGCTCATATAATATTGCTTTTTCTATATTTTTAGGTAACTTCTTGCAAGCTATGGCGCCAAGTGGGGGAGTCTTTTAAGCCACCCAAGTAAATCTTTATTTACTCTTTCTTACCTTTTAAATATGACCTAGTGTTAACATTTCATGAGCACTCACTACATAATGTTAGAAATTAGGGAGTGAAATCTTTAACTTGTTTATATATATATATATTTATGTAGAATAAAGAAACCTCGATGTGATTCCTCGTAGTTCCCCTAATACTGTATCAGCATAGCTTACATTTATAGATAATTTTGCTATTTGCAACTTAGTATTTGTCATACCTTCCCGAGAAAAAGGTGCATTTGTATATTAATGCTTAAGTGAATCTATATATGTGTTTCTGATAGTCATATACAAATAAATCCCATCCATAAAAATGCAAAAAAAAAAAAAAGAAAAAAAAAAGAAAAAAAAGGATGGGCATCACATGTACATGTTCTTGTTCACACCCATTTATATTTTTATTCTATTTTAAGCATCTTTTAAACCATGAATTTGTATGTGGTTTATCAAGTTAATATTATTTTTTAGGGAAAATAATATTTTTACTTTCTGACTTTGTGTATAACTATTTTGACTCTCAACATGCAATGCATGGAACTTATCAATGCGAAACTTGTATATTGACTTTTATATTAGAAAGATTGCTTTATGGAAGATTTAAGTTTTTTTTAAACAAAAAGATTATGTGTTTGGTGGAGGGATGAAGGGAGCATTCAGTGAGATTAAGAGCTCTAATAGGGACATGAAAGAGAGCAGAATCAGGGGATCATGTGGAGACTTGGGTAGAAGAGCGAGAAAAAAATATTATGGGGAGAAGATAACAGGGGAATGGATCATGAGTAGAGAGAGAATATGGTCGTAAGGGGAAGCGCAGAGCATAGATAAATAATAAGATGGGGAACTTGGAGCTTTAGTGAGAGAGTGTGTGGAATTGGGGGATATATTGAGAAGATAGAGTATAGGAGTGCTGTAAGATTAGGGTTCTTTAGAAAGAGGTAGAAGAGTAGAGATAGCTTTATAGTTAGGAAGAGAGATAATCGATGGCACAACTGGAGTGAGAAGCAGTGGATTTGGTTTGCAATGAGGCTCTTTGGATTTCTTTTGAAATCCTCTTATTTAAACCCTCTTTCATATTATATGAAAGCTAATGATAAGAAAATTAAATAAATATATTAAACCCAGAAGAAATGGTACTAATATCGGAAAGAATGATGCTTAGATTATGAGTAAATTAATCCAAATGCGTGTACAAGTGATTGCTACAATTCAAATGATTATACTCAAGGATATTAGGTACAAATACTTGTAGTCAATTGATTCCCCCTCCAGTGTGAGACCATACAAATGAATTCAAATAACGGTTAGATGGCAAAGCCAGTGAGTTAGTACATTATTATTATGCACAAAACCAAATTGATTGAATTACACAAGCTTTAGCATCATCATAATCTATAAAGAGTTACACTATAAATACGATGATCTATGAATAATTATTATGTAAGAGAAATAAATGTTAAGCATATAATTAGAAGTTCACTCTCCTCAAGGGCATAAGATCAATTAATCCAAAAATCACTACAATATCATGGACGCCCAAGCTAGTAGATAACTAAATTAAAATGTAAAAATAAAAATTAAACTATAGAGATTTATTCATAAAAAAAAATTGATGTATTGGGCCTTTGTTGAGCCCTCCACTCAATTAGAATTCCACTTTCTAAACTAGTCAATGTTTCTCTTTGAGAAGGCAGAGAATCCTTTATGCCAAAACAGTTAAAAGAGAGGAGTACCCTACTTGATTTGATGAAGTGCACTGAGTTTTTCAAAGTTCCTCCGAGTTCTACTAGGTCCGACGACAAAGGTTTATACTAAAAGTGCTTAGCCAAGGTTCTCATAAAGTTTTGGGGATGACACAAGGCAATCACCTTCTAATTGAAATAAAGTTCTATTTAAATATATAAAAATGTACAAATGAAAATCAAACTTACAAACACCTTGAGTATAGCTTAAATGAGACATGTTACCAAAGAGAGAAGCCAACAAGGATGGATTATTTGATGATCACTTAAAATTTTTTTTTCTTCATTTAAAAAAAGGTCTAACGTTTAAACACTAGTAATTTGTCTTTTTCCTTTTATTCACTGACATGTAATATTGATAAACTCAACACTCCTTAAAAATGTTCATGAAAACATATTAAAAAATTTCTAAGACCTCCTTTCCAAATTAGCCACCAATTATTAGTTATTTTGACTTGGTCATGCGAGACATTTTCTAACTTGTTTTGGTGAGTGCAAGTCAATTCAGGGAGTGGTAGGGATGGTAAATAATACTAAGTTTAATATTTACCATAATTTAATGATTATAATGCAGAAGTATGTGATTTTATATATGAAATCATATCTAAATAGTATAGTGAATTAAATCAAATCAAGATTAGGGCCATAATTAGCACAATTATATAATTAACTCTTAATCGGTCTTAACACACTTTCAAATTTAATGGCATGTACAATACATGTATGAAGCAAAAGTGCCAATGTGTGGAATACTCAATTAAAGAAAAATAATAATATTCAAGTTAATTTTATTTTCTCTGTTAAGACAATGGAGTAATTAACTTATATAGTCCAAAATAACAAATTTATTAAAAATTATAGAAACTTTAAGATCAAACAAATTTTTTAACATACATTTATGATCAAGATCATAATGACCGACCAATTAAACATATGATCATAACTTAAAATAAGATTCACATATAGGAACTTATTAAGTAATTCAAATGAATTGAATATCAACCCATAAATTCCATTAAATTCCCAACATTTATTGAATAATTTTTTAAGTTCAAAAACATATTTAGAATTGATCTAATAAAAAGTTTTCTACAATTTTCTTGATATTATTGGGTATTTCAAAATTCATCAATGTACAATGAATTCAAATATACCACACAGGCTAAAGCTAATTTTGTCATAGGAGCTTCTAGGGTTTGTTTGGGTCAACTTTTTCATTGCTTTGTTTTTTGTACTTTTGTCACACTCCATTTGGTTATTTGCTTTCTGCCTGCGTTTTATAAATTTTAATAACGAGAAGCTACTTTTGAATACCAGAACTATTAATGTACGATAGCTCTAAAAATGTTGTTAGACTTTTTTAAATATGAATAATATTTAAACATATATAACAACTTTTAAAAAGTTGCTTTCCCCATAACATTTTTACAGCCATCTTTATAAAAGGCTGTAATGGCCCCAAATAGATATCTAGTTTTGGCTCGAGTACTACACAAAAATTAATATTATAAATTTTATCAGGAATCTACTTTGAACAATTTAAAATCACTCCATTTTAGCTCAAATTGATAAACATATTAAATTAACATCAAATTAGGCTAAATTTATTTGAATTCAAATCATGATTTGAGTTGCTTGAAATTATTGATATTTACTAGTTTGTAATATAAATATCAGTAACAAAGATTTTGATCATAATACTTGAAATAACAATGATATAAATAAATATCTCTAAGTAATTTGTGTTTTGCTATTTCTTAGATTAAGCATCATATTTTATATTATGTTTTAAGGCTAATTGTCCAATTAATAAGCAAAAAATCTAAAAGATCTAATAATGGTTTTTCTTTTTCATGTATTGAAATTTGAACAGACTAATAGTTTTTAAATATATATTAAAATAACAATTAAAGTGGGTTAAAGAGGGAGCTAAGTGGTGAAGTGCAAAATGCAATCAATCCCAGTTAATAGTGTCTCCACATATACAAAGATATGTATCATTTTCTCCCTTGTTAGGATTTTACATAGTGAATTTGGACTTGTCTCTTTCTTTCACCCCACATTGTGATGGGATCCTGGTGTATGTGATAATGCTTTCTTTGCAAATATAAATCTTGTCTCTCACACACAATGACTTTCGTGATGAACCCATGATGGACTAAGAATGCTAGCCTATAACACTCTCCCGACTCACTGCACTTTCGGCATGTTATGTGTTTGTCCGTCTTGCTCGCTTGTTTTCTTAGCTCAGTTCTAGCACTCGTTGCGTGATCTTTGATTGTGCAACATAAAATGAAATCCTATTTTCATTCCGCCACTCATGAAACCCACAATCCTTGCTCCACTAGCTCCTTGGCTGCATGGAATCCTCATATGATTGGAAGGGTGGTGCATTAGAAAACTTGGGAGAGTCGAGTCTGACATTTAGCTGCTAATTCTGGAACATGTATGCTAGAGTCGAGTTGAACTGTGTCATGTACTCGTACTGGCGTAGGTACTTTTCGACAGAGAAATCACTTCTTTGCACCCTATTTACTGCCATTGTTGAATAGTAGCAACATCATTGCTCAGGGTGTCCAATGTTCAGCTATTGAAGAAATAAAAGCGGAAGGTTGGGCTTGTGAAGAGGCGGATCTAGAGGAACTCTCACCTCTCTCAAATGTAGTTTTACCATATGAAAATATAGTTTCCTTAATCATAGCCCTACTAGGACGAAGTTACTTCTCCCAACTCTTGCTTTTTACCCCTCGCCTTAGAATATAAAAGTAGTGATAATGGACGAGTGGCCAAGACTAATAGTGGTTTCTCCCTTGATTTTTTGAATGGAACCAGGAATCACACTCACCACATCAATTAATTTTTCCCTTTGAATAAAATAATATAGAACCGTTCTATCCCGTGTCACCTCACTTATATTGATTGAAGGAAGGAGTTTAACAGATATGAGGTAGTGTCATGTCTTCAACTCAGTATTTAAAGCAATGAAATTAAAATTAAGTAATCTCTCATCTCTCACCCGCCGCTCTGCACGAGAATCAATTAGGAAGTTGATTTCAATCAGATCAAAATCAGAAGGCATGAAAAGTGAGCATTCATTCTCAGGAATGTCTGGAAGGCCCATTATAGAGTTTATTTGGATGGAATGCAAGTGAACATGTTCTAACATAAATTTTATCGTTCTCTTGTGCTTTTGCGTTAGCGAAGTACTCAGTTTTGATTTTATAACAAAATCTTTCCACTT